CGAAAAAATTACCGGCCGAAAAATTTTTCGGCTAATTTTTTTATAGGTGTCCCAGGAATAATGAAAACAGCTGTAATGTCATCCCCCCTCGCTTAACTGCCTCCCCGAAAATTAAACAAGCCAATCACAACGCAGCATAAACTTCATTAATCATGTGATTAATGTTGACCAATGAGACTTGATCAAAAATTCTTGGGACTATATGTGTTTGTTTAAATCCTCCCCTCCCCCCTCATGCCTGAGCCTAAATATCGATGTTAACCTAAAAATTAACTAAAAGTGGCCTAAAATCAAAAAAAAAAATTAAAAAATATTATCGCTGTTATTTACCTTATTTATTTATCCCTATTGTGCTGATTGTGTATTATCATACTTTGATAAATTAAAAACGATGCTTCAAATAATTAGTATTAGCACAGTAAATGCCCGCAAAACATTATGATATCTTAAGCCCTGTTCTCTAGTAAAAAAATACTGAAATATACAAGTAACACAAAATCAATCTAAACGTTATTCTCATCAGACAAGTTTTACGTATAAACATGAGATTAGGTCAATTATTAACCGCAAAAAATTCTCGAGAATAACATATGAAACATGAGCTAATTAACCGAATCGCAATTTAGCCCGGTTATGTTTAAGCAATGGATGTGCACCAATATCAACGTGGCTGAAATATACATGCAAAGTAATCATGCATACACCTAATGAATATTGTCATTAATGTTATTACAAAATCGATGTTTCCATACTATAAAAATATGTCACTTTTCGATATAATTTTGTTTTCTTTACGTGTGAATATGTTATACGAATTTTCATTATTATATATTAACTAGACATGGTATATTAAAAAATTTGTATGTGGAGACCCCACAGTAAAGGGTAATGGGCTAAAAATTTTGATTTTATATTTCTGAGCAACCCTATATAAAAAAGCAATCGATCATATGAAAAGTCGGTAACGAACTGATTATATCAGATTAAACTTGCTAGAATCAAGTAACAAAATTTTTTTAAGTTTTCGATAAATGTTAATTATACAGATTTATGACTTGTTATTCGCAAGTAATAAATTTACATAATAAATAGCTAACTAAATTTTAAAAAAGTTCTGTTCTCCAATATTATTTGTTTATGGCAAATTTAATCTGATGGATTCGTTAGTAACTTTTCATATAATCGAATATATTTTCGTACAGGACAATCAGTCAATAAAAATTCAAGGAACGACAACCAATTCTATTCCTTTAATTCTTTAAAAAATTAAGTTTTTTAAAATTTTTTTTTGGCCTATTACCCTTTTTGCTGTGTGGGTCTTTGTATATAGATTGTTAAATGAATAATTATAAAACTATAACAATCACTATGTGTAGTCTGGCTAATAAAATAAATGCTCAATGAACAATTGCTTCAATCTCAATGGTTTAAAGATATGCAAAAACATGGTCAATTCCCATTAAGTGCAGCTTGTTAGGTCTTTGAAAATTTTGACATAGAATAAAGTAGAATCTTGAAAGAAATTGCATTTAGAAAGAAGACCAATTCGTATTATTATATATATAGAAGCCAAAAGTTGAAGAATTTTGAAGTTGAATGTAGAAGCCATGTATTTAGAGAAAGTTGATAGTACTAAATATATTATCCACTAATATATCGCCTTTTATCTCCCTACTTTTCCTACATGTCCCGTTTTGTCCATATGATTAAGACTTAGTAACTCATCTGTCAATCCATAATCCGATAGAATAATATCTATTGAATGCGTGTAATGATATTTATCATCAATTTAAAATTTTCAAAATAAAAATCAAAAAACGAGTATACATACTATTATCCTCTATATAATACTAATGTCAAGCATCTCAGAATACAAAAGATTTGCTGAATTAGGTGATAGTTTGTTTGAAGCATTTCTGACAGTGTTTGCGTGGTCGTAACAGTAGTTGGATGTGCCGTTGTAAATTGTAATGTCAAAGGATCCGCTTTTAAAAAATAGCAACGCGTTTAGCTACCTATAAAGAAGCAAAAATAAATACATATTAGTTAAATAATTAAATTAATACAATACATTACGGTGAGTATGACATTTTATGAATTTCTATCTGAAACTTCACTATAATACATCCTCACTCTACAATCCGTAATAATGTGAAAAATAAATTTTATGTACTTCATCATATGTATAATTTTTATTTAAAATTAACTCAAATACAGGTTCTTGTTTACGGTCTTTATGTTTTGGCTTAAATTGGACAACGACACGCATAACTAATAACTCATAGGAATATCACAAATACGGCCTGCAGTAGTATGTTCTTGTACTCTAAATTGAAGCAGAAATTTTCTTTTAAAAAAATGGATTGAAACACGAGACAAGATAAGGCTAATAAATAACTTGCTCTTGTTCTGTTAAAGCTTTTTGGAAGCAAATTATATCACCATCTCAGATTTTTGAAAAGTCAATTCGGGTTTCATTTCCTTAATCTCGGTTGGTTTATTTCCTGTATTTTAATAAAATAACTGCCAACAAAATAATTGTATACGAAAAATAAATTTTACTTAATATATATTCAAGGGTGTGTGTGGTGTAAAGTTCTTTTTCTCGCAAAGAATTGGAATAATATCACCAACTTTACCAAATTTTTTAACATATAAATAACACATTCCTCTGTTTACATAGGTATAAGAGATTAATTCTCATATTAAATGAATCAATAAAATAAGTTTAAATTACATACTCTAAAGATTATGTATTGGGATTAAAGTACTTGATGAAAACTAATAGATGAGAATTATTTTCTATTGTCAGAAACCATGCCTACATAGCAAATAAATAACAGTTGAAATAGTAAGAAAGTACATGCTTTAATAACATAGATGCAATAAATTGTTAAATATTAGGTACTACTTTTCCGTCAATTTGTTTATCTGCCACCTCCAAAAACAATGTTCATTTTGCTTCGAAGCCATTTTCTTGTGGGTTTCTTCCAAAGTTATTCATTACAAAAGTAGATCAAAAGTTTACTATGTATAATATGTATAATATGAAATGAAAAAAAATTGTATTTTTATACATGACTCAAAAGAATCGTTTGGTATTAGAGCATCTGGCCTGAACAGTTTTATTATGGCGATTTACCAAAACCCATAGCCTTGTTTGCTCAGATGGAATCCTGATTTTTTGAGTGACCATAGCTTTTAGAGTCTGTAGGTTTCACTTTAGCGAGATCAAACCCTTGATGATACTCAAAAGTAATCGAAATCACAATCTAATATTGAGTTAGGATAAAGTTTAATAATCCAAATTATTATTAATACTCATAATGTCGTTACCATATTTTCGCGTAATAACTTGCAGAGGTGTAATTCGAATTTTGGCCTAAATTAAGCTTAATTCGGTCAAAATTCGAAATAACTCAAATGGGCGTTATTACGCGAAAATATGGTATGTAATTACCTTAATAGTCAAATATAAATGACGCTCTTCAGCTTCTTTTTTTCTCTGTTCATATAAAGCCTTCTCTTCAGCTAAGCGTCTTTCTATTAAACATGTATGTGAAAGATAAATTCACAGCCAGTTTCAAGCTACAGCACTTCATAAATAAGTACACTTACGCCAATGTTCTGGTATATCTTTATCAAGTACCGGAGATAGTACAAAGTCGATATCAGATTCACAGATATATACTAATATATATGCACTTGTAAATCGGTTAAGATTTTTTCCAATTGCTATTTCACCCCGTAACTATCTTCAAGTACTTCTTTATCTGTTACGGGCGTATCAAATTTGAACTTTTTATGATAATTAATTTTAGTTATCTAACTTATTCTTACCATTTAAAGATTTTAACTTATTTGATAAAATTCCGACCATTTCTGCCCTAGTTTTAAAAGAATGTAGTAGCTGTCTCCATGTAAGTCACCACTGTGAACAATTACTCTAATTATAATAAGAAAAATTATTAATAATATGTTATATCATTGAAAATATTGAATCCACATTTACAAACCCATGAAGCAAATAATTATGCGGTTTTGATTTATTGCTATCTAGCTTTGTAAATCAATTTCCATAGGATATTCATGACGGTCATTTATCTATGTACAGTACACATTGGTGTATTATATAATTTTCAATTATCAAATTACTGAATTAAAAGCTAGAGGTCATAATAAATACCTTAACTGTAGTATTTTTTTGCATATCATATTCAAACCGGTTCAATTGTATTCGTAGAACTGGTGGAAAACTTTCCTTTTTTTTTTGCATCCTTTAGACAATTAGAGTCAAAACTTTTGCATTTAATGTAATTTTCAGCAATGTTTTGACCAAAATGTAACTCACTTGCAAGACATATTTTTCAGTTTGGTATTTATTATTTCCTTACACAAGATTTTTCACGAATATATTCTATGAAAGAATCATTTAAAGTTTTGCACCCTTTTACATTGAGTCGAATATCTATCGTAATAAAATTAAACGTTACTTAAACTAATTTTATGTATATATATATATATTTACTACTATATTTCATAGTAATCTTCAATACGTGAATTTTCATAATTTACGTTGATACATCTAACATAACTCTTCATCTTTCCTACAAACAGTTTGGAAATAGTATTCTTAAACCCAAATATAAGTTTTAGTCGATTTATTAGAAGAAAACTTAATGACTTGAAATATGGTTTAATTCAATAAATAATAAGCCACCTTCATTTTACCCTCTAAATTATCTAGTAGCAATCTATCAAACTCCTGTACATCATGTGGCATAAAACAATCTGACGAATCCCATCCAAAACATCTCGTTAATGCTGTTGTTCCAACTGGAGTATCTGATACTTGTAACTGATAAAAAGCCCTTTGCATGGCCAATGGAATACTTCTAATTGGTCCGTCATCTGTGGGGATTTGATATATCGCTAATAATAATAATAATAATATAATTGCAACTCGGCATTTGAATAACTTGGGTCATTTATAATGCGAACAAAGGCCGTAATATTACAGGTATCATTTTCTATTAACGGACAAGAACGAATATCTGATGGGGACAAACAGCTTATTTTCTTCGTAAAACCGCGTAAATCACCAATCTGATTCTTCGGCAGTGAAACGATGATACGCATCTATAATTAAAAATTAGGATATTAGTAACATGGACTATCAAGTGATAAATAGTTTAATACATACAATGAACAACACTTCTGGATTCCATAATGGCAAAGAAATTGCACACAGCAATGCCAACCGGCGAGTGCTTCATTTATATCAGCAAAATCCAGATAAATTGAAACAACCATTGGATTATTGTTTCCAAAAGAGAAAAGCAAAATGCGCCTAAATTTTAATATAATTAGAGTATGAAGTTATATTCTGGTTGTATATTTAAGTGAACTTACCATTTCCAACTTCCAGCTTCAAATTTAGGGCTTGTTATTTTCTTTTCTAAACTTTGTCCAACTAGTGATTTGCCACGTATAATCTTGGAAATCCTCAATTTCACATTGATAGCCAAGATATGGCATATTTGCAATGTTTCCATAGTGAAAGTCATAATATTGTATATTATTTTCAAAGTCGTGTTCTGCAATTTATGAAATATAGCAACAGATAAAACATTAACTTCGTAACGCAATTATAGTTAAAAGATTTTTTTAAGATTTATGATGAACTAATTATATTGATTATAATGCTACAAATATACCATCCATAATCAGATTAATTATTTTAAGAATTGCATATAAAGATAAATGAGAGACTATCGTGAACTTTTGGATATGTTAAGAAATAATTACTATATTTTGGTTTCAACTTAGTTAATCTTAAATGAATTACCATATTGGTTACATCATATTGCAATTTGGGATATTTCTCTGAAGGTTTTCTGTTTACATTTTAGTCATATGTACTGTGGTTCGTAACGCGAATTCTGAGAGAATCTAAATTGTAGTTTATGTAGCAATAAATTCTTGTCAGGTCTATAACGAAATGTTTTTTGTGTGCCGCGTACGTATATATATTCTGTGTTCAAATCCACTCAAATACATCAATTGTTGAAAAAATATATAAATATTAATTCTAAGCGTTCTTCTTAGTTTTTTCTTCGAATTTTTTTATCAGACAGATGAGCTGGTATTAATTAATCGTTAAAACCACAGTGATGGTTAAAATTAATGTGGGGGATTATCGTGAAATTGGCTGAAGCTGAAAATTTGGGGTCTCAATTTAGATCCATAAAACCTACTAAAACC